TGAAACTGTCATTGCTCACATATAATTACTACTGCAACTAATTAAATTTTCCATGCGCTGCGTAAATAAAGGCCTGATTATCAACAAAGACATAATTTTCATGAAAATTCACCATCCAAAACTATTTAAAGACACTTAACTACAAATTGCAATCCTATTCCATTCATTAGTTCATTTTTAGGACACGCGCATACTGAGTAACATTTTTTGATTTTTATTATTAATAAATAATAAATTATATAATAAATAAATGGTTTATGGTAATGGTTTAAATGGTAAATGGAATTAATAAATGATTTCCTTAAAAAAAATAATAATTTTTGGTGAGTTATCCACAAATGTTTGTAATAATGGGAAATGTGCAGTTAGTGTAAGAAAATAGTTTTTAAAATACATTTTTTTTTCTATAAAAAAAAATATGTTTTTTTAAAGAATAAAACTGCGAATTTAAGCTTATACACTTAGTAGTATTTTAAATAGCTTTGCAAAACATATGTATTGAAAATAAATACTATTCTAATCGATTTTAAATAATGGATTCTAAATGTTTATACAGTTTGATTTATTAAGTACTTCATTTTTTCGTAAAACGTTTTTTTTTTTTAATTTATTGATCAAAATCAAATTAATTTTTATAACTCATTTTAAATATCAAGTTTATTGCGAAAAAAAATGGATTCTTAACGGTAGATTTTTGGGGTCACTTTTAAAAATTTAAATAGGAGTCTACAATTATATTTTATTATTGAATGAGGGATGGATAAAATACAATTTTAAAGATTCGATAATCAGTTTTTTAACATGACTTTATGAGTTAATATAACTCAAGAAGAAAATTTGAGTCAATATAAATTAAACTTATAAGTTGGCAACGAAAAATAATTTTTATCTATGTGATATAGTAAAAAGAGTGACGTATAACACTTCTCCGATTCTCACATTTCTAAATCTTTAAATGCAAATGTTTTAAAAAGTAACATTACAAAATTTATTTATTTATACATAATGTTATTTAATTTTAATTTTAATATTGCTCATTTTATTTGCTTGCTTGTATTTGTATACCATACGATATAATAATAATAAAAAAATTTATTATCAACTATTCAATGTCTTATCTCTTATTTAATAATAAAAAAAAAAATAATAAGTTTTCATATATATTTCTAAAGTTAAGTGTACATCAACAGCCTCTTATGATTATGTATTTATATTGTTTTTTAATTCTATTGCAATTGTATGGCTTCCAATGATTTGTATATTTATATGGCTTCTTATATTTACATATTTGTATGGCTTCTTAATTCTATTGCACTTGTATGGCTTCTAAACATTTGTATATTTGTATGGCTTCTTAATTCTATTGCACTTGTATGGCTTCCAATCATTTGTATATTTATATGGCTTCTTAATGTTTAGATATTTCTATGGCTTCTTATATTTACATATTTGTATGGCTTCTTAATTCTATTGCACTTGTATGGCTTCCAAACGTTTGTATACTTATATGGCTTTTTAATATTTAGATATTTCTATGGTTTCTTAGGTTTACATATTTTTATGGCTTTTTAATGTTTAGATATTTGTATGGCATTTATAATTACTTGTATCTGAAATTAATTCCAATTTCAGCTACAAAATGAATCAATTTCAACAAATTAAAGATTTTAAAATTTATTTTAGACATCAAAGAAAAACAATTTAACGATTTTTCTTCAGTGAGTAATTAGATACCAAAACAAAAATTTATAAAATTTTAAATTATTTATAACCATGATGGATCGCATTGCATTGTTTTGTGTTAGTGATTTTATTAAATTAAAAAAAACACAAAATACTAAGTGTACTCATAGAAATTAATATGTTTTTTGTAAAACTATAAAGTGTACTTTATTTAAATTTTTTAAATTAGTTTGATTTAATTACTTAATACTTGAATATAAATAAAACAGTAATATAGCTATTGTCATTAATAATTTAACAATAGTTATTTAAAAAAGTTCCTCAGTTTTTCTTTTTATATTAGCTATTTAAAGTACATTACTAATATTAAGTACATAAGCAGATAGTATACACAATTAAAACAAATGAAATATTATATCTTTTGTACTTAAAATAGACCTTATTCCTTTTGTTATAACTAAAATATTATACAGTGTTATGTATTCTAAGTTAACATTGGAAAACGGTTTTATATCTAATCCAACTGTTACAGGTCAAAATTTAATACCTTTCTTTACAATAAATATTATTTATACATTCAGATAATCAAAAGGGTAGTGACCTCAAACCTAAGAAGACAACAATTTAAATAAAATAAAATTTATAGTAGCTAAATTACTAGAAATATCTTTATAAAGTTATTATTATTATTTTTTGATATGAATTGTAAACAATTCATATATTGCATACTATCTTATGAATAACTTTTATATTACCTTAAAAAAAAAAACATAATCTATGCTATATAATACTTATAAAATAAATAAAACAGACTTATTATAAACATTTATTATAACACTTATTATAAAAATAATAAGTGGATATACTTATTATTATTAATTTTTTTTCTTATCAAAAATCAATCATTAAATCTTTAAAAATTTGTCTCAAAAATATTTGAAACTAGTTAAGAAGCGTTAAGTAGCATCTAAGTTACTTCCATATCATTTTAGAAAGTATTTACTTTATCTTGAGTATGAAACAAATCATATTTCTAACTTTTTTTAGTTTTAACCCTAAGAAAAAATTTATAGGATTTCTATATCCTACAATGTATTTAACTCTTAAGGATTTACTACTTCCATGAAAACAATGAATATTACTGGTAAAATATTTTACAAGCTTAATTTTAAGTTACTATAACATCATTAGCTTAATTTTTAACCATAATTAAAAAGGTTCTAGTTTATTTCATACATACCATTATGTACTTTTATAACAAAAGTAATAAATTTTATGTGGTGTATAATTAAGTATTCAAGTTAAAACAACATAGAAATATTATGATTTAAAAATATTGTAGTGAGAGTTTATAAAGTATGTAATTTATGAAATTAGCTTGAAGACCAGATAATTAATTAAAATTATAGGGGATNAATACATTATGACATTAATGATCTATTGTGTATACAAATAATTTATTATAATATTAATGATGTACTATGTATATCATTACACGAACTTGTATTATACTATAATTTTTGAGTTAGTTAAATTTTAAAAAGAAATTATTTTTTATTAGGCAGTTTACATAGTACTATTTTAAATCAATGATTGTAGTATATCAAACCATCTAACATACAAAAGGTATATTCTTAGACCTAAACCTTTGAATCAAAGGTTTATAACTATGAATGTGTGTGTATTCTATTGGGACATTTAAATTGTATCATAAAAGTCGTCCTATCTATGCCATTTAAGATTTCCAAGTATGTATTTCCCTTTTTAAGTCATATATACAGTATACAGGGTGATCAAAATCTGGTAAGACACTTATTTTCTCAGAAACTATTGAAAATTTAAAATTTTTGTAAAAAGAAAAATTATTAAGTTTATAAAACTCTACAAAAATATGAAATTAAATAATTTTTTTTTATCCCTTCAGGAATAAAAATGTTTATTTATAATTTTTTTAAATGGAAAACACTATTTTTGATTTGATAATATGATAGAAAAAAAAATTACAAACAATTATGTTCTTATAATTTTTTTTATCCGAACAACCGTTTACGTTTTATAATTGTTTAAAGATTTTGACTTCCAGAAAAATTATTGTCATTTATTACGTTTCTTAATATCAGTGGCAGTGCAACCGGTATTTTTTTTAGATCCTTTAGTCTTACAAAACGATAGACTTAGCTATTAATAATACACCGAAAACCCGTTTTGAATCTATTATTGTTATCACTCATTTAGTGCGTAGTAAATTTTTATAGATAATTTACCTGTCATAACTCGATCAATAAAATTTGGTTTATGCAACAGCAAATAAAAATAATGACTTCTGTATTTAATACAGTAAAATGACAATAGAAATTTGGCCTAAAATCACTTAACTTTAACAAGCTGTAACGGACAAACGGTTAATCGCATAAAAAAAATTTTAAGAACAAAATTGTTTGTAATTTTTTTCTATCATATTATAAGTTAAAAATAAGTGTTCCCATTTAAGAAAATTATAAATAAGGGTTTTTATCCTTGAAGGGACGAAAAATATAACGGTTTGACTACATATTATTGTAGAGTTTTTTGAAATTGATATTTTTTCTCTGTAACAAAATTAAAAATTCTCAATATTTTCTGAGAAAATGAGTGTCTTATCAGATTTCGATCACCCTCTATAGTATAGGTATACTATTTAAATAGACATTTCCATAAGATTCCAATATTATATTGAAAACAATATGTTTTCATATAAAGAAACTAATGTTGATAAAATTTTAAGGGGCATAGAACTAATTTTTTTTTGACAATTATAAACTATATTTTGTAAGGTAAAAGTTACTTTTAACTTTTGAAATAAAAAAATATATTATATCTTTAAAAATTGTGTGTCATTGTCAAACAATCACTCATTTCTTTCACTTGAAAAGAACTTTTAAAGTAGGAAATCAAAGTGCACTTCTTCTATTTAAAATGAATATATTTGCAGTAAGTAGCTAATCTATAATAGAAAGAAAGTCAAGAATCACACTATGGCACTATGATCAAATACTACCACAAAAGAGTAATACTTGCACGTAATTGGTTACAATTTAGATTTAGAGAGATTAAAAATTACTGTTGTAATAAATCCTAAAAAAACATTTTTAAACTATTTATATAATATTTTACATACGAATAATGTTAAATAACATTATAATAATATTATGTTAGAGAAATTTTATCTAGGATTTTATTAAATAATTATTTTATAAAAATTATAGATACTTTGATATCATTATTTTAAATATTTACAACTACATGATACTCAAAACAAGTTATATTTTTATTTTCAGGTTTTTCAAATATGTCAAAATATGATTTACAAATAATTCAATTTGAAAAAAAAAACAAATCAAGGTAATTTTTTTTAAATATCGCTTATTGATAAGAATAAGAAGCTATTTTAAAACAGATAATTAAAAAAAAATAGTATATCGGAAAGACTCGGACTAATTTGGACGGGGAATAGTGAAGATAAGGGTTAGTTTAACAATTTATAGATGATATAATATATCATATATACTTTCAAAATATTTTTATATGGTTACTATTATAAAAAAACGCTCTATTGCGAATCTGTAGAAAGTATTTTATTTTTAAAAGAAATCATTATATTATTTCAATAGTATTATCGACTCATATTTCCTTAATTAAATCTTGTTTACAAGTTTTATGAATTAAAATTATAATATATTAATAAATATTTATTATAGTAATTACATTTTATAAGAAACAAATTTCTAATAATTTAAAATTGTAGTTTTTATGGAGAAATTACAACCTTCATTGCAAATTTGAATGGATTTACCAAAGAAAAAAAGAATTTTCATTATTCTAACCTTTGATAATTGAAGAATTTTTTTTAACAATTTTTATTGTAATGTCTTAAATTAGATATGGTTTGTAAATTTTTTATTCTAATGAAGCTGTGAAAGAAAGTAATAGATAAAAAATAATAATAAATAATAATAAAATAAACACAGCATAGTAAAATTAATACCTTTTATATTCGCATTGAATCTAAACATAATTTTTCCCAAAGGTTTTTATGGAAACTAATATAGCTAAATTAATAAAAATTTTTTGACATAATAATAAGTGTTGTTTATTCATAATGATCCCAAAATCAGAAAAGTGAAAAATTTCCAATTATACCAAAAACAATATAAAATATAATTATGTTATTGATTAAAAATTAATAATATACGAAAATATATTTCTATTAAATAAAAAAGGATAATTTCTAATTTAAGTAACCATTACAAATGTGAAGAAGTGCATTTGCAAATTAAATAACATAATCGGTGTCTTGGCTGCAGCTTTTAGATTTTAATTAATTTAATGTAAATTGGAACAATTATATTTCGTCTTAACGTTTAGAAACATAATGGTGTGGCTCATTTTACTTTATAATATGTTAATGAACTGAATTAATGAATTAACGTTATCAGAGAATTAAAAAATTGATTCTCACGCAAAATAATTATAATATTTAAATAAAATTAGAAATAATAATGTTTATAATCATTTTTTGGCTTGTCATAAAACACATTTTCTTTTAAAATTGTATTAATTGATAACTGTGAATTAAATTAAGCCTAGTTTTATAATCTACACAGAAAATAAAGAAAGTTTCTTTGATAAAATAAGTACTAAATCTTCGTGACAACGCTATAATCTGTATTCTTATCTCATAATAAAAAACAAGTTAAAATATTTCTAAATGAAAATCTGAAAAGTTTGTTTTTCATATTATAATTTAGTTAAGTTAATAAATTTGTTGTTTAGTTATTTTAAAGTACAATTTAAATTGTCCGTCATAGTAATAGTTAAGTTAGAAAAACTATTTTTTTTGTTTCGGTATTAAAAGGTTACAAAAGCTGATCTGACAAAAAACTCCCATTGTTTTGGTTCAGTAATAAAACTTTTCACATATAATATCACCCTAGAGAATATTGTAATCCATGTTCTTTAACGGTTTTTTTTTTTTTTTTTTTTTTTTTGTCGAAAGATTCGCTAGAAAAAAGCAAACAATATTTATTGTGTACTAGAACATTAATGTGTTTGGTATTAAAGTTTCTTTTTTAATCTTTAGTCGTAATCATGATTATTAGATAGAATTTAAAACGAAATAATTCTTATATATTATTCTCATTAAATTCAGTTTATTTAAAAATATACACATTTTTTTGAATTTACCTTAAAAGATGATAAGATACTAAAAAGGATTATTTAGTTTACTCTATATTACTGGACGATTCTATTAACGCTAGCTACTCGATTTATCTCTTAAAGTAATATTTTTTTGTGTTTTTTGTGTTTTTTGATTTTATTTTTTGTTAGTAACATATTTATTTCCATACATCTGTTATAAAATATTTCTTATGTTCATTTATCATGTCTTATAGGGGTGTCAATTTTTTAAATGGTAGCATATACAGGGTGATTTTTTTATCATAACCCACTCAATTACTTGCAGAATAATAATAATTTAAACATTTTTTTATTTCATTATCTTTAGTTATACATTATTCCTGAATTTTTAACTATGTAATACTTTTTAAGTTCATCCCTTATGCCTTGGAGGGGGGTCAACTTTGTTTTTTTAAATGGTAACACATATTTTTAATTTAATAAAATGTTTGAGTTTTTAATTTAATAGTAAATGGCATTTGAATTTTTAATATAACTTTATTAGCTTATTAGATATAAACATTTAAAGTTTCAAATTTTTGAATTAATATACATGGGATTGTAAATACAGGTAGCTAATTGGTTTTTTATAACATCGATATTAGCAGGTACACAGCATTGTTATTATCAATTGTAGTAAGGCACATTGTTATGAGTTTATAAATACACTAACTGACAAAACAGAAAGTATATCTATTGACAATCATAATTGATAATAAACAATCCGTGACTGAGACAGCAATGTCATAAAAATCCAATTAGCTACCTGTATTTACAATCCCATGTGTATTATACATGTATATTAACTCAAAATTTTGAAACTTTAAATGTTTATATCTAATAAGCTAATAAAGTTATATTAAAAATTCAAATGCCATTTACTATTAAATTAAAAACTCAAACATTTTATTAAATTAAAAATATGTGTTACCATTTAAAAAAACAAAGTTGACCCCCTTCCAAGGCATAAGGGATGAACTTAAAAAGTATTACATAGTTAAAAATTCAGGAATAATGTGTAACTAAAGATAATGAAATAAAAAAATGTTTAAATTATTATTATTCTGCAAGTAATTGAGTGGGTTATGATAAAAAAATCACCCTGTGTATATACGAGTATATATATATATAAAAGCTTATAAAAAAGAAAACGGTGTAATTAAGAAAATAACTGGTCGATATCAACATTAGGACCAGTATTTCAGAAGATATTAATATAATAGAGTAATGAGAAGAGTTGAGGAGTGGGTGCTGCTATTTTTGGACTAAACATTTATTAGTTTCACTCGTTTTCCTACCTAGGTATAAAAATGTTAATAGTTTCTGAAATACTGATCCGAAAGTTATACTTTTTTAATATAATATATTTATTATATTTGATCAAATATAATATAAACTTAACATTTAAAATCTTGAATACATTATTGATTTTATAATACGTTTTCTATATATAATTATATTTTATTGAAAGTTTATCCATTACAAAGTAATAATAAGTAATTCAAGTTAAAATGATTTATTATACAAGGATTCTATTAAATACTTATTAATTAAATTACATGGAAAGTAATGAAGCAAAATAAGCGTCTCCTCGATGTAACATATCTACATATGTTCATCATAGAAAAATTATTAGCGCAATAAAATCTTGTGCTGAAAATATTTATAAAAAAATAACAAATATAAATATGTTAAATTATATTATAATTTTTAAGGGGAAAAGACAATTAATACATTTTTGGAAAAGTTACAGTGAATATAGTATAATTTAAATTTAAATTTGACAGTTTTAAGTTACAATGTTACATCATTTTATGTATTCTTTTACTACTACTAATACCAAAAAAGTATTGTGTATTATTTTACATGATAGCTAACTTTTTTTTATCAAATGCGTCCGAATTAAATCTTATCTTTTGAATTATTATGCCGTAATATTCTATGAAATAATATTAATACGATATATATGCAATATGAATTATTACATTATTGTCATAATGAAATGATCATTTTATTACATCAATGTAGCTGGTGGTCTACATTTATTACAGAAATTAACATAATTTTAGTTCATCAAACTACTCATAATCAGAAAGTTTATATCATATTTACCCTATTAATTCCACTAAAAGCTTTTGGGAGTTCACGAAAACTTAAAAACAACGATTAACTCAATGTCTTATGCAAATAATATATATATATATATATATATATATGTGTGTGTGTGTGTGTATACATATAGATAGATAGATAGATGTGTTCACACATCTAAGTATTGCATAGAAAAATTATTCCAAAATTGTATACTTTTATGTAAATGAAATAATTAATTTATCATGTACAAATATTTTGATGTCAAGACGATGTTCAATTAAATAATAAACATCTGAAAATCAAAAGCATCGAAAATGAATCTGAGAAAAATGAAATACATTAATATAAAAATTATTTATAAAAATTAAAATCAAAATTCAATTAACATCTTTATTTTTATATAATGTAATAAACGTCGAAGAGAGTTAATGAAATTATTAATAATAGTGATAGAATTATCACCATCAAATAAAAATAGCACACAATAAAAGAATATTTATTTTGAAATAAAACTGTTATTATTATGTTATTCAGCAATGATGTTAAAATAAATATTTATCTTGCCCTTTAAAAATAAAATGTTTGTATACTAAGTAAAATTTAATCAAGTGAAAAACTTAAAACTAACAACCGATAATTTCATTAAAAAAAAAATGTCGTGTGTTAATTGAAAAATAATTTATCTAAGTAAATTTATAAATAATTTTTATTCATATCAAAAAATAAGCAAAGATTTCAAGTATTTTATTTGATTGACAAATTTTATCTAACTATTTGTAATTATTATTTTTATTATTGATTAGACAGTTAAAAATTGGAACTATTCTGCTAGTTTTTTTTTTTATTTATCAGAAAATTTATTTACAATCTATACAATAAATACATTAAGCAAATTTGATGACAGCTATTATATACATGGTAATGAAATTAACGTTTATGGGAAGACACTCAGCGGTGTCACCCAGCTAGATTCTGCTAGTTATAGTGCTATTCTAGAAATTTTATAATCGTAGTCTTTTAAAAAAAATCTTATTACAAGTTTGCAAGATGAAGTAACTAAAAATAAAAAC